GAGCTATTCGTAATAAATGTACCTGCTTCTTACCACACGTTCTTTCCCCTCCACAAAATTTCTTAATTTTCCACCTTTTCCTGGGGCTTTCTTTCTGAATACAAACTCATCCCATTGCCTCCTTTATGACTAATTGAACACTCGGACTTAATTGATTATGCATTAAGTTGGGGACTTGGAGCGACATTCAGGACTGGGCTCATGTTGAGATTAATTTATTCCTGTAGTCTTCCTGTTTTGCAGTGTAACTGAGTGCCTCACATGCGTGTTAAAAATAAAACGGAGAGTCAGGGCAATCTAATTAGACAGCTTAACCCATCACTCTGGTGTTCAGTCCTCACCCAGCTCTCCTGCTTTGATGGTAACCAAAATAGATGAGTAAGTTAATCAAAGGTCTGATTAAATAGCACAGCCCTGCAGCATGGACTGATGATTGCCAAGCCTCAGTTCAGGCAGATTGTTAGAGGAGAGAGGAGGCTGAGCTGAGCCCCAAAGGCCAGGGCTTTCATGAGGAAGATGTTTACAAAGCATATGGGAGGGAATTCCTCACTGAGTCCTCGGATCCTACCGTGATGGCTAGTCAGGAATCTCACTCCAAAGGAAGGATAATGTAGTTTGGGGAAAGCAAATTGTGACTCTTAGAGCTTTGCATCTTGCTTGCTGTGGGATTGTAGACAAATCGCCTGCCTTCCTATGCCTGCCTGCCATCCATCATCCATCCGTCTGTTCATCCATCATCCATCCATCCATCCATTCATCCATCATCCATTCATCCATCCATCCGTCTATCCATCCATTCATCCATCATCCATCCATCCATCCATCATCCATTCATCCATCCATTCATCCGTCCATTCATCCATCATCCATCCATCCATCCATTTATCCATCATCCATCCATCCATCCATTCATCCATCATCCATTCATCCATCCATCCATCCATCATCCATTAATCCATCCATTCATCCATCATCCATCCATCCATCATCCATCCATCCATCCATCCATCCATCCATCCATCCATCCATCCGTCTGTTCCAGAAATGTGTTTTGTACCCATTATATACAAGACATTGTGCTTTTTTTTTTTTTTTGAGACAGAGTTTCACTTTTGTTGCCCAGGCTGGAGTACAATGGTGTGATCTCTGCTCAATGCAACCTCTGCCTCCCAGGTTCCAGCGATTCTCCTGCCTGAGCCTCCCGAGTAGCTGGGATTACAGGTGTGTGCCACCACACCTGGCTAATTTTGTATTTTTAGTAGAGACGGCATTTCTCCATGTTGTTCAGGCTGGTCTCAAGCTCCTGACCTCAGGTGATGCACCTGCCTCAGCCTCCTAAAATTCTGGGATTACAGGCGTGAGCCACTGCACCCGGCCAAGGCATTATGCTTTGATTTTGTTGTTGTCATTTAATTTGTCCTTGTGTTAACGGTATGACTCTGTTGGTTGTGTGAGTTTTTTCCTTCTAGGTACTCTCTTGCCCTAACCTTCACTTTATGCTCCATGAGGCTGATGCATAAAGCATCTCTAATTTCACTTTCGCTCTGGTTCCCATTAGGGTTGACCAGAGGGCTGCCCTCCCGGGATACTGGTGGGCAGGAGGAGAGTGACATTGAGATGTTTTTTTCCTGTTCTGGCTTATGGGTTGCCACAGGTAGGCTGTGTCCCTCTGCTGAAGGTCACTGCCTCAGCCAGGTGGCCTTACTCATACAGCAGTTCTCTCTGGATTCCAGCATCTGTTGGCCTAGACCCTTTTGGCCTTGGGGTAGTAATGGCCCCAAGTACTCTTCCCGTCCTCTAGTAACTGCACAGTTCTTGTTAAACTGCTTCTAATTCTGCATATACTTAGATTAAGTAGTCCTTTTATTAAATCTTCCTTAGATTCCCCAGGAGAGTGTGCTGTTTCCACCCACACCCTGCATGATAGGATGAAGTAAGTGTAGCAACAAGGATGGAGCTGGAGGCCATTATCCTAAGCGAGCTAACTCAGAAGCAGAAAATCAAATATCACACTTTCTCACTTACAGGTGGAAGCTAAACAATAGGCATACATGGATACAAAGTTGGAAATAATAGACACTGGGGTCTCCAAAAGAAGAAAGGGTGAGAGCTGGGTAAGGGGTGAAAAATTGCCTGCTGGATACAATGTTCAACATTCAGGTGACAGGTGTACTGGAAGTCCAGTCTCCACCATTACACAGTGTACTCATGTAACAAACATGCGTGTGTACCCCCAGAATCTAAACTTAAAAATTTTTTTAAAAAGGAGGGCTGACCTTTATAAGTAGCAGAAACTCAGACAAGCTGAGCAAACCTGTCCAAGGTGACATGGCGATTAAGTGATGATACTAGAATCTAAATCCAGGCATGTCTGACTCTGCCACCTCGGTTTTTTGCTCTCCTGCATACATCCTGGAGACCCTTACCTTCATCAGGAAGTACTGGAAGAGGCATTGATATCTAAATACTTGGAATAAGATAGAGGGATCAGGAAGAAGGGTGGATACCAGGCCCTTGAGTCCTTTAATATATTTTAATTTTTATACCACCGTGTGAAGTGGGCATCATCTCCATTTTACTAACTTTTAAAATGAGCAACTACTTTTAAAAGAAAAACTAAGTAACCACATTGTTTTCAAACATGTCAGTCTGGTGATGATGGGAAAACAGGCACACAGGAGGCCAATTTAGGGAAGCTATGAGATAGGCTCCCCATGCTGACTCATGAGACCCATTCCATCTCTGAAACACACTCCATTTTACAGATAAAGAAACCAAAGCTTAGAGAGATCAAATGCTCTGTGGGGCTAGAGCCCAGATTTGAACTCCTGTCCTTTTTCCCCTCCTCCATGATGCCTGGGTGTAAGGTGACAGGGTCTCATACACAGAGTTAGGGATGCTTTTTCTTGAAACTGATGAGAAGTGAAGCCAGTGGACTTCCTGGGTCGAGTGGGGACTTGGAGAACTTTTGTGTCTAGCTAAAGGATTGTAAGTGCACCAATCAGCACTCTGTAAAAACACACCAATCAGCGCTTTGTGTCTAGCTAAAGGATTGTAAGTGTACCAATCAGCACTCTGTAAAAACACACCAATCAGCACTTTGTGTCTAGCTAAAGGATTGTAAGTGCACCAATCAGCACTCTGTAAAAACACACCAATCAGCGCTTTGTGTCTAGCTAAAGGATTGTAAGTGTACCAATCAGCACTCTGTAAAAACACACCAATCAGCACTTTGTGTCTAGCTAAAGGATTGTAAGTGCACCAATCAGCACTCTGTAAAAACGCACCAATCAGCACTCTGTGTCTAGCTAAAGGATTGTAAATGCACCAATCAGCACTCTGTAAAATCACACCAATCATTGCTCTGTGTCTAGCTAAAGGATTGTAAACACACCATTCAGCACTCTGTAAAATGGACCAATCAGCAGGATGTGGGCGGGGACAAATAAGGGAATAAAAGCTGGCCACCGCAGCCAGCAGCGGCATCCTGCTCGGGTTCCCTTCCAAGCTGTGGAAGCTTTGTTCTTTCGTTCTTCACAATAAATCTTGCTGTTGCTCACTCTTTGGGTCTGCACCCCCTTTAAGAGCTGTGCCACTCACCGCAAAGGTCTGCAGCTTCATTCTTAAAGTCAGCAAGACCAAGAACCCACCAGAAAGAACCAACTCCAGACACAATGGGATGTCTTGCTGCTATTTTTTCTTTCTCTGCATAAAATGTGGGTGAATGTGTTTCATTTGGTTTGATTACACATAGTTGCTTTTAAGTAAAAGCAGTTTTAAAGCTTATTTTTTTCCCCTTTAACATCATATGTAGGTTTTTAGAAACTACATCTTAATCCACTTTGTTTTAAACAATTACATAGGATGCTATCAGAAAAAAAAAAAAGAGTATCATGTCTGAATTAATTGTTCCATTTTGGGGCATTTTGATGGCTGCCCTTTGGTAACATGGTAATGAACATCTTTGATGTCTTAAACAAAATTTTTAAATCTGAATTTTTTAACGAACATCTCCTCAACATGGTCAAAGGTAAGGTCAAAGGAGATGAATATTTTTTGGAATCCTCGTAAGGTGGCCATATTCCCCATTTTAAAGGGTTCTATTAAAAGGGTTACCCTCTTGAAAATAAGTGTACTTTGGCTCCCATGGAAACTCCCCACAGCAGCCAGGTTGGGGCCTCTGCCCACGATGATCTTCATAAATGACTATGCATATATGAGAGCTTTCATCACACTGGTGCTTTTATTTTTATCCTTGCCTTTGGACACAAAATGGCACCCATGTGTGTGCCTCGCTGATGACTCTGCCCATCTGCGAGCCATTGATTGTTCCATTATATTATGTGAGGATCATAATGTCAGTGCTCCATGGGTGGTTCATTTATGTTCTATGTGTGTGTCCTCTATTGCTGTCAGGTGAAGAGTGTCGCATGATGACTAGGTCCTCCTTGTGGGTTTATCTGAGAATAAAGAGAAGGCAGCAGTAGCAATCTATTCAATTACAGTTTTAAAAGAATAAGCATAAGCTTTAACAATACCATTACCCACTAATCTTTAATGACACATAAATGGAATATGATTTAAAGAAATATATGTACATAGGAACAATTCGATATTGGTTGCAAAAGAATATGTAATGGGATTCCATTTTTGGACCTTTATGTTTTTGCATATCCTTTTTTTCTCTAGTGGATCTATTTTATTTCTATAATAACAAAAGTTTTATTTAAAAATCTCAACATAGGATTTGCAGTAATAATTATTTCACAACTATTACTTTTCCTCTCCCTTAATTCAGATACATTTTCCTCCAGAAAACTTCACATGTCAAAATGCAAATTATATAAATCTTTAAAAGAAAACTCATTCATTTATTCAACAAATTTGTATTGGATACTTTTTGTGCTAGGCCCTATTTATGATGTTTAAGCAAAGAATTAATATAGCGATTTCTCTTTTTTTCCCTTTCTCCAACTCCCTCTCTGCCTTGTTCTGTCTAGTCTGAAGTTTCCTGGATCCCCAATAAACATTACTCTGGGATTTATGGTCTGATGAAGCTTGTGCTGACCAAGACTCTTCCTGCCAACCTGGAGAGAGTCATCGTCCTTGACACGGATATCACCTTTGCCACCGACATTGCAGAGCTGTGGGCTGTGTTCCACAAGTTCAAAGGTAATGGTAGCCCATTTGCTTCTTCCCGATATCCTTGTAGGTATCAGCTTGCCAAGAATAGAGGTTGATTCTTTAAAAAAGGTGAGGTCACCTCAAATGAGGTCGTGCTAATGCGGTGGGTAAGGAATTACAAATATGGTTCAATATCCGCTCTGCTTGGATTTGAAAAATAACAGAGTAAAACAGAAACGTGTTTACATTTCTTTAGTAAATGAAGATTTTTTAACAGATGAATATCAAATGTGTGTATTTCGTATGCAGATAGTGGAGTGTTCACATACTGGTGTCGGGACGTGCGTTCATTGTTTTCTTTTTGTCCACGGATAGTCTAATTGCCAGGAAAGCCTGTGAGGTAGTAGAGATGAGTATTGATTCCAGAGTTTTTGAAAATGTTCTTACAGCTTTTGCTTTCATTAACGTTGTGGTTTATCATTTTAAGGAGATGTATGTGTTTGGCTTTACAAGACATTCTGTCTAGTCTGGTGGGTTTCTTTATAGCTATCATTGTAACTCTCGTCACAGCCTCGAGGTATAGGAAAGTACCTAGTGGGAAATCGTGAGCTCGGTAGGTGTATTAACTGTGGCATGGATATGTGAGAGAAGTGGCAGGTTAGCACAAATCTCAGGCTGTTATTTTAATACCCCTCTCCCAGCTGTCTTTTTTAAAATTATATGATTTTAAAAATTCTTCTCTATTGGATGAGTACATTGAGAAAGAAATTCGACAGTGAAACTTTTGCTTTTTTTTTTTTTTTTTAATTGCACACTGGCCCCTTCTGTGTTTAAAATGCCTTCTGCCATTCCTGTTAGCTCCATATGCTATGAAAGCAAGATACTACTTAATGATTTTAAATCTCAGCATTTTCATAAATCACAGGATATTCCTGTTGGTTTCTGTTTCTATTCACGAACAGAGAGTGAACTTCCTTGCCTGCCCCGGTCACTCCCTGCTTCCTTCTCAGGGCGTCTGAGCTCTGGGCTAATTGAGGAAAGTCTTCACCAAATCATGGGAATGACATTGTGATCCCCGGGACCCTTTCCCTTACCGGGATCAAAATTTACTTTTCTTATTCATGTCAGTAGTGACACTGGCAATGACCTCATTTAGGACACCTGTTGAAACTGAGTATGTCACAGCTCTCTAATCTTCATAGAACGCGTGGACGTGTCCTTTTGTTTCATAAAGAAAGAAACGGAAGCTCAGAAGGATGCAGGCTTTTCCCAGAGTTGAGATCAGAGTGCCCGTGTCTTGGCTTCCATCTGCTGCCCTTTTCAAGTTCCCCTATCGCGTCTGCTTTGTTTTCCTCTTTGTGATCACAGGGAACTCACGAGGGGCAGTTTTTCTATAATTACATGGTGTTTTATTCATTTCTTTATGCTGATGTTGAGTGTTCAGTGATGCATTTCTTCAACCGGCGTTTATTGCATCCCTACTGGGTGTCAAGCACTATGGCTGGCTCTGCAAATAAGGAGATGAGTAATGAGGGCGCAGTGAGAGTTGTCACCTTTCCTAGAGGGGGTTAGAGAAGGTAGCTGGGAAGGTGTCACGGAGGAGCTCCTAATTGTGCTCTGTCTCATCGGGTGAGAATGGTGGTCGTATGCACTAGACTCCCACATTCTCCTTTGGGAATAAAGACCTTATTACCCCAGCTGCTGGGAGTAGTCCCTGCAGAAGGGGCTCCCCAGCATCGGCCCTTTTTGCAGTTGCCTTAGTTGAAGTGAGTGGCCATGCCTGTGGCCACACCCCTTCCCGGGACGCCACACGTCGTGGAATGACTGATGGACATGAGATCCTGCGGGATCATCTGCTACACTCAGAGACTGCCTCACAGGTCGATTTTCCCCTCTGCCCAGTCCTGCTTTCCCCGTCCCTTTCATAGGTGCTGTTCTCAAGAGCTCTCTCTAATAAACCTCTTGTATGCTGACTTCCATCTCAGAGTCTCTTTCCAAAAATACGCCACCTGCACCATGCAGTTAGAGCTGTAAGTCTCTGTTGGATAAGTATAACCACCATGGTCACCAGAACAGGTCATCAGAAATTGTAGAGCTGTAGCTAGGAAATCACGTTTATTCTCTTGCAGCTTGCAATGGCTATAGTGCTAGTGGAGCTCTATAGCCAATAACAACATGAATTATCATGGTTATTTTAAATATGCTGATATCATCCATTCAAGGCAAGGCACCAGAGCTCTTGCTGCTCCCCTAGCTGGCCCAAGGACTTGACTTGGAGGATTGTCAGATTCAAGGCAGCTCCTGGGGCTGAGCAGGGTATATGGGCCAAGGTCAGGACAGGGACAAGGTAAATTTGAATGCAAGGAGCTGAGTTAATGGGCTGCATTTTATTTGTTCGTTCTTTTGTTGGTTTATTTCTAGCATTTGGTAGGCCCCCACTGTGAAGAGGAATACATTAGAGGCTGTTGTTACCTAAAGCTGTTGAGAACACAGCACCTGCCTTCAAGGAACTCAATAACAAGGCAGAGTGCATTGCGTGTTTATCTATCACCAGCAAAGGAGTACAAAACATCAGAGGTTTTCCCATGCCCACCCTGATTTTTCTGGAAAAGTACAGAGATGAAAAGAAAATAAGTAAGCTCATCTCTTCTCCATATGTCCCTATTTTGTATCACTTTCGTATGTGTGTGATCGTTTTTCTAAAGCGAACTATCAGAAGCCAGGTCATGGAATAGGAAGAAAGCCTGTTAGGCCCATAAATGTAGAATGTTCCGATCCGAGAGTGTCCTTCATAAAGGCAATTGTCGTTGACATCTTTCCCTGTAAACAGTTGGCGTGATGTTGATACAATGTGGCCTGGCTAATTTTTCTCTCTGAGAACACCTGGTTGTTTGGGGCTGCAGTGGCTCTTGGTCAGATCACACGTAGACTAGATTCCTTTGTGGCGCGCTGTGAAAGCCCCTTGTTCCTAAATTCATTACTGGGAGAATTACGAAGAAGCCTTTTTAAGGACTTAGACCCATCCTCAGCCTCTACCAGAAGAAGCCTCTTAGAGATGTCCCCATCTTCCCTGAGTTCGACTTCAGCTAAGTAGCAGATACTTCCCTCCCATGTCAGTGGTTTGCACCTTTCCCCAGCCTGCATCAGCAGCTGGAAGATTTTCAGAACCACCCATTCTTAGCAGAAAGAATCAGACATACCCTTATTGGCCAGGTTCAGGAGCCACCCATTCAGTCAGTATTTACTGAGCTCCTAGGTGCCAGATAGTTTTATAACTGTTGGGACTATTGCAAGAATAAGACTGTTTGGAGAGCCCCTAGCTACACTGGGGTGCAAGTACCAGAGTGGCTAGCAGCCCTGTCCTAACAGAAAATTCAGGGGAGCTGGACGTGGGTATGGTATGCTTCTCACGAGATACATCTGGTGTACCTGGCAGGGGTCCCTCACGTGGGAAATGTATTTTTATAGGCAGATGTCCTTGTAGCTCTTGTCTGATGTGTGTTCAGTTTATACTTGTCTGACCACCAACTACTCTGCCACTGGGAACCTGACCTTGTCCTCTCCCTGGCATACCAGGGAAAACCGGCCTGGGGCAGCCCCTGGTTCTTCAATGGAAAGTGCAAATTCAGCACCCCCTTACAATGGAAACAAGTTCAAAGACTTTTTACCTCTTCTTTTTTTTTTTTTTTTTTTGATACAAAGTCTCACTCTATCACCCAGGCTGGCGTGCAGTGGCGCGATCTCGATCTCGGCTCACTACAGCCTCCACCTCCTGGGTTCAAGTGATTCTTCTGCCTCAGCCTCCCGAGTAACTGGGATTACAGGTGCACGCCACCACACCTGGCTAATTTTGTGTTGTTAGTAGAGACAGGGTTTCACCATGTTGGCCGGGCTGGTCTTTGACTTCTGACCTCAAGTGATCCACCTGCCTCCGTCTCCCAAAGTGCTGGGATTACAGGCGTGAGCCACTATGCCTGGCCGATTTTTTACTTTCAAATCCTGAGCAGGGAACACGCAGTGGATCAGGAGGGCAGTCCTCCGTCCGTGGTCACACGAGGCAGGAACGAAGAGTCAGGCACAGAGAGACACCTAGCTGTAGATTAAGCAAATAGGGTGTGGGTCACTGTGAATTCAAGGGCAAATGCCTGAATATTCCATTTAAAGAAAGTGGGAAAAGTTGGCCGGGCCCGGTGACTCATGCCAGTAATTCCAGCACTTCGGAAGGTCAAGGTGGGCGGATCATCTGAGGTTGAGAGTTCAAGACCAGCCTGACCAACATGGAGAAACCCCATCTCTACTAAAAATACAAAATTAGCCAGACATGGTGGCGCATGCCTGTAATCCCAGCTACTGTGGAGGCTGGGGCAGGAGAATCGCTTGAAACCAGGTGGCAGAGGTTGCGGTGAGCCGAGATCGTGCCATTGCACTCCAGCCTGGGCAACAAGAGTGAAACTCCGTCTCAAAAAAAAAAAAAAGAAAAGAGAAA